ATATCTCAATTAAAAAATGAGAATATTCTGAGCGAAGCAGTGATATACAGCCTGCAAAACTACTGGTTTAAAATATACAGAAAGATAAGGAGTGATTGTATCAAAGGATGCGTATAAGCACCTCACCAGCAAAAAAATGCAAACTAAGTATGTTAAAGGCCTGAATACACTTGCAAGATGTAGGATTCCTGCCTTGAAAAGTAAAAGAAAATTAAAGAACAAATTCAAGACTAAGCAAAAGAGCATGAAGTGTGAAAATGCAATCAAGGAAATCTGGAGAGGAATATATATATATATATATATATATTTCCATACATTTTTCCTTTTTGGTTTTGGGTTTTCACAAGATATATGCATATTATTGCTGCTCTTAATACATAAATACAATTGTTGTGGATTGAAAAACAAAATATAAATGCATGCTCATTTTTGTTGCAGCTGTTCAGAGGGAATCCAAATGGCAGTTCTTCTGAAATTTTGCTCAGAAGGAGACAACATCCCTGATGCATTTGTTCTTGTTAACTATCTAAATGAATGGCTCCAGCTAATTAAAAGTGAAGTAAGTATTGTTTGATCCAAAGTTCTTGCTTTCATATTTTATATCCATTATTTTCATTTTTCTTCAGTCCAGATGGGTTCATTTTGGCCAAATAAAATATATAATTGTATTAAAATCTCACTGGGAGTCTCCCCACGTGAAAAAACAAATCTGAACACCAGTTCTTTTGTTTGACAGGTGTGGGCAAAAATTGTGCAAAGGTTTGATGGAGTTTTCTCTTCCAGTGCCTTTCTCTAAAGCAACCCACCGTGACACTGACACTTGTACTGCTGCCCATTATTTTAATATCTGTGCCAGTTACATCATTACAACTTAAAACTTAATTATTCTGGGTTTGTTGCAGAGCAACAATTCCACAGATCCTTCTTCACAGTGGAAGATACCGAGTTCTTGGCGCTTACTCTTTGGCAATGGTCTCCCACCTGCCCTCTTCTGATCAGCTCTGAACTCGCTGTGAGTCGCAGGTGTCCCTTGAGGTGGTGATTACACAGTAATTGCCAAGGAGCAGGAGCTTGCTTTGGTGTCTACATAAATGCTTTATTTAAGAAAAATTTCTTTTGTGGATGTGGGTAGTTAAAGAAATTAAGGTAACTTTCACAAACTCACCAAAGAAATATGTTTTGTACAGTTGTTTATTGAGTGACTTTGGTTGGAAGTTTTTTCTAATAAAATATTTTTTAAGAAACCTTTTTCCCTGGTTAAGTGTTACTGCCATGGACAAGCTTAAGGTGCTCCTTTTTAATGCCACTGGGAACTGAGTGATATGTAGGCATGGATTTTCTTGGAAGATAAACCCCTCCACTTTCACATCATCTGTGGGTCTTAACTTTTTTTTCAAGACTTCCTGGTGAGGTAAGTGAAAGTCGAAGTGATCTGGTTTTGCCTTCCTTTCCCAATGCTGTTGTGGTAGCTTCAACTAGGGAGACTGCAAGCAGTGTAACAGCCTGTTCTGTCTTTTCTGTCTGCATAGAGTTGTAGAACAGTGTGTGTTAGAAGGGATCCTGAAGATCCTCTAGTTCTAACCCCACTGCTGTAGGCAAGGACACGCTCCACTAGACTGGGTTGCTCAGAGCCCCAGCCAACCTGGTCTTAAAACACTTCCAGGGGTGTGGCATCTACAACTTTTCTTGGCAACTTGAGTCTGTGCCTCACTACCTTACAGTAAAAAATTTCTTCCTAAAATCTAAGAGGTTTTCCCTCTTTCCTCCCTTTAAAGCATCACCAACAGAACACTTTCCTGTCACAAAGTTACTCTGAACATTTTGTGCATATTTTATAGCAAACATAAAAAGGATTACCAAACCAACTGGTCAGATTAACAAATATTCTGAGTGGTGTATTACAAAAGAAATGTGCAAGAGTTCCTCCTAAATCAAACTACAGTACTTAGCATTAATGAAAATACTTGCAAAAGCACACTCTAATAATTTTGCCATTTTCCTAAACCTACTCTTAGTTTGAAATCACTTCCCTTTATACTTTCACTACATGCCCTTGCAAAAAGTCCTCCTCCAGCTCTCTTGTAGGGTCCCTCTGGGAACCGGGAGGCCAGTTAGGTTACCCCTGAGCCCTCTCTTTTTCAGGCTTCTGTTCCATTTCCAGAAGCTGCTAAGATGCTGAAACGAAAGCTTTCTAGGTCAATGAGCCTTCTAGATTGAACATTAATACAGTGCTCTGAAATAAAAAGGAATCAGGGAACCTTGCCTGATATCAGGCAGTCTGGTATCTGTGCATTTTACAGGCTTAGTCTGAGACAGCAGTTGTGTGATGGACAGTTCACATGTTCAGTGTTTGTCATGGTACTTGCTGCACTATAGCATTTAGCTATGTGTTCAATTTTGACCTTTTAGAAGTGCTTTGTCACAGCTGATTTAAAAACAACTTCAGATCATGGATGGTCAATTTTAGAGTTGAGACATGAGAATTAACCAAAATACATTTTTAGGAGTTCCCACAGGTATCCAGACTGGTAAGCTGGCAAGTCAAAATGCAGATGCAGTCAGGGAATGAAAACAAAAGGCCATGTGTAGCACAAGGCAAGTCTGATAAGCCTAAAGCTAGTTGGAAAAATAACCATATTCAAATTAAGCCAAGTGACTACGAAGTGTATACAGAGCAGGAGAGCAAATTAAGTCTTGAGGGACTGAAGGACCAGACAGAAGCAATGAAAGGGGTGTTCTTTGCTTCACAATGCTTTCCTTAAGTGAGTCATAGATGTTCACTACCTCCTCAAGAGCAAAACCTTGAGAAGGGAAAAAGAGGACACTGGGAATACTTTCTGAAAGAGAAAATCCTCAGGGCTTTCCTATTCCCTGTGAAGAAGGTAGAGGGCAGTCAGATTCTTGCGAGAAGAAAAAGGATGCAGCTTCTCCAAGGCCGGCAGTTCTGTGGGCGGCGCTGCCCTTGGCCCTGAGCCACTCCTGCTTCCAGTGCCCGGGACAGGCAAGCGCAGCCCCTGCACAAAATAAAACTTTCCTGCAGGACAAGGCTGCACCTTTGCTGTGCTGTTCAGATGACTAGCAAAAGTAAAAACACCTCTGCAACACTGCCCTTGAGCATGGGGAAATAAAATGGCAGTCAGTTAATCACAGCTTGTTCATTTGGAACAAAACCCCTTTCACAAGTCTGATCACTTTAACATCACTTCTTTAAAAGTTACAAAGACACACTCACTTGGTCCTTTCTCTCCCCTTCCTTCACTTTTTAAAATCCTTTCCCAACAGTAGTCATGAAGCGGGGCCTGTGTAGAAATTAACGACACAAGTACACAGGTCTGAAAGCAAGACTTCTCCTGTCACAAGACAGCACTCAACAAAACCCAACAACACCCTGGTTTTGGAACTATTCTACCCTGATCTACTTTGCCAGTTCACTGAGTTGGCTGACATCAACTTTATTCCAGCATCTCAGTAGCTGAAAACGATGTAAAAACTAAGGACAATCAGCATTTTTATTAGGATACTCAGCTGGCTATGCCCCACAAGATAAACTAGTTGTATGTCATAGCAGCAGGTAGAATAAGGCACAGGCACATTTCTAGTAGTCATGCACTGTATGCTTACTCACAGCTCTGAAAATAATGAAAACCTAAACCATAGCTAAGGGTGAAAGGCATGAATAGCTGAGAGCTTTATCCAAAGATGTCCCAAGTGGTATAAACAGGCCCTGTTCCTGTAATCAACAATAGCAGTGTTTGTTGCAGTGGTTTTGGCAGAGCTTGATCCCTTGCTATAAACACTCCTAGCTTCACAGCTGCACCATCTTGAAAATTAAATCTGAATCAAGTCACAATGTTGTTTTTTCCTTCAGCATAGGCTCAGAACAGTGGTAATCATGTAAAGAAAAAAAAATTTGGACCCAACTAGACTGGCAATTTAGACTATTTCAGGATGGTGTCAAGTGTGTCTTTAGCTCAAGTAATAGCATTAAGTACTCCCCTGCTTTGGCTTCCCCTTCAAGTTCAACACAACTCTGAATATGACTGCTTTCATGAATGGGCCTCAAGACCAAGTTTGGTAAAATTTCAGGCTGCTGCCTTTTTTAGCAAAAACTGTCTGAGTTGGCCTAGATTTCCTCCTCTTCCACACTTCATTTTCAGTAACAATATGACTTGTACAAAAACCTGTTAAAAATATGCAAGGTGCAAATTCCATGTAGAACATCACCACATGCCAGTTTAGACAGTCACAGAAAATATATAGAGTTCTGTGAGTTAAGGTTTATCTGAAACCATCAGAGAACAAATGCAGAATTGAGATCAGCTCTGTTACAGCACAGGGCTGAAAACCCTCCTGGACTCATTGGAAGAACTCCTTTAAGCAGCACTCTGCCTTACCCATTTCCAATCCATCCTGACTATATCAAGAACACTGACAGAATGTGGGAGACATGAAGGAAAATACTGTACATAGAACACACAGCAATGGCACAATCCAAAACCTGTTTAATTACAGACACCATTGACTTTTGTGCGCTTCATTTTTGTTCCTCAGCTCCCGTTAACTATGGACAATCATGGGTCAAGAGAGGCAAGGTTTTCCCTCTTTCCTCCCTTTAAAGCATCACCAAGAGAACAATTTCCTGTCACAGTTACTCTGAACATTTTGTGCATATTTTATAGCAAACATAAAAAGGATTACCAAACCAACTGGTCAGATTAACAAATATTCTGAGTGGTGTATTACAAAAGAAATGTGCAAGAGTTCCTCCTAAATCAAACTACAGTACTTAGCATTAATGAAAATACTTGCATAAAGCACACTCTAATAATTTTACCATTTTCCAGTTAAGACAGGTAGCAGGAAACCTTAAGGCAAAACCCTTCTTTTTACACAACACACACTCTTAACAGGTTCTCCCTAACATAACGCGCACACAACAGCACATCATCAATTTAAAAAAATATTTAATGCTGCCAAAAAGTATAAAAATACAATAAGAATGGCAGTACAAAACAAAATACTTCCTAATTTATTTCTTTTACATCTTTCTACATTAATACAGGCATTATAAAAACAAAAGATGGCATATTATTTTGTTTTGCAAAGTGGTACACGCTGCTGGTGGTCTTCATCCCCTCGGTGCAGTTTACGCTGTAAACAGATAACTGAGGTCTTCTTGGTACTTAACAGACCTCACTTTTTGTTCCCGAAGAGGGGGGTCATGTCTCGCTTTGCATGTCAATAATTTGCAGTTTATAGCTGCAGAATATTCACAAGTCTCGAAGGCTTAGGTGTCAGTCAGTCTCGGCCTGCGACATACAACCAAAAGAAAGTCACCGATTCAGTACAGAGTACGGGGATAAAAAACAACAACAAAAAGAAGAGCTAAGAACTGACAGTGGGTTTGCAGCTCACTGTCAACACCAAACAGCTTCTCATGTGTTCCCTGCAGCAACTACTGCCTCTGATCAACTACTCTTGGAAAGTCGTTGCTTTTCCAGAACATATTTCAATGTTACGGTATAAGGCACATCCTTGCTGGAGAGTCTCAAGTACAGGTCTCAGTCCAGCAAACCACTTCCTCACACATGTAACTACAAGCACTGCAGAAGTCTCCTTGGGCCTCAGAGGGACTGTAGCAGGCTACATCTCAAGACACATCACCTCTCACAGCTCTGGAGGCAAGTTCTGCTACAGCAGCTCAAAAGTAACTGTTTCTAGGAAGAAGATTTCCTGTACTGAAAAAGACACCCCAGCACTAGACATTTTGTTCTTAGGCAAGGGAAGGCTCTACTCCCAGAGTCTACAGAAAAAGACCTTGGCATTCACAGCACCACATGCCCAAGCTACTACAGGTAAAATGCGTCTGAGTTCTGCAAGCACTACACTGATTCATAAAGCAGCTTTCCTCCACCAGTTATGACACATTGAAAGAGGGCTTCCAAGTATTTATCCTTCCAATTTAAATAAAGACTCAGACAGAAATGCAATTTTGAACATGTTTTATTTTTTGTACATAAAAATGAAAGACTGACTTAAAACTCTGGGGGCAAACAAAAAGGCCCAGGAAGACTACTGTGTATCACGTCACCTTTGCAAATACCGTCCTCTGGCTTAAGCCACTCAGCCCTGCAGAAGACTTCCTCTTTTGTCATTTTTAATTTAGTTTCTCGTGCAGTCCTCAAGTGTCTCAGGTTTTACTATAATGCCAAACAGCAAACTAAATAATTTGGTTTACATTCATTAAACATAAAGCTAACCAGGCTTTTTCATCGCCTGCATGAACCAGTCACACATACATGCATACACATTTACGCCTCTTCCCTTTTCAGGGGGACATAAACTGATGTCAGTAAACCATAGTACTCGAGGTTTAACAGAATAAGCCACATTTCACTGGCAACATCTCACTTCCATAACAAGTCCAGAGTTTTTTTCCAAATTGCTATTTCACACTGAATTAAATTATTTTACTTAATACATTTCAAGGAAAATACAGATGTACCGTCACTAAGTGGACTGTCCCTGCACCAAGAACACAAATAGGAAACCTAGAGGATTAATTCCAATCTTGCAAACCCCTTGCAGTGGAGGTCCAAATGTTTGCTAGGTATTTTTTTATGAAAATGTGCATGATTTGTACATAAGTGTTCATCTGAGAGTCAAACATTGTTTAATCAGAGATGCCCACTATGCACCAAATATTTTGACTGATGCATTTCCAGAGAAGAAAGGAAAAACCAACACAGTAACATTCTGAATTGAGCCCAATGACATTTTAGAAGTAGCATGGGACCAGCCAGCAGTTTGCCAGAAATCAAGGAGGGGTCAGAAGGCATGCCCTTCAATTTCACCCTTAAAGCATTTCCTATGATAGAGGTGACTGGGATCGATAGTTCTTCATTTTGGCCCATATTTGTTCCTACTTAACATCCAAGCTGTGCAGAACTGCTGCAAATTTAAATCCTCCAGAATAATAAAGTATCACAAGGGCTTAGTGTGCAGCAAGGAAAGCAATCCTCCAGATTTTGGGTTTTAAGGGTTTGTGATGGACCAGAAAGATTTTTATCCAAATTATTTCCTGGAATGTACAAAGAGACCAATCATTTGATTTTCCTTACTATTCTCATACTATCATGAACAATTCACTGTTCAAAATAGTTTTGTCCAAGGCTTGTACTGGTTCATCCTCCTTAAATTCTTAACAGTTAAGACTCCCAAGGTACTTGCAAACACAGAACCAAACTTTTACAGAACAACTGCTGAATGTGCAAGTCCTGCTTTATTGCATCAAGAAGGTAACAGTGTGAGGTGATCTGAATTGGCTGCCCCCTGCCCTGCCCCACCCTGAACTGAGGAATGCTTACTCAGGATCAAGAAAACTGAAAAGCCAGGATTTAGAAGATGGAATCAAGAAAAAAAAAAAAAACAAGCTGCAGTTAAAGCTCAGTGCCTGTAGGATACTGGTAGCCCAGGAAATCCTCCTCATGCCAAAAGAAGGGCAATAAATGACAGTGTGGTATCAGTCCAAGTTTCGCCTGCACTTTTTCCTTAGCTGCTTTTAAGTATCTAGAATAAAATCTGGAATATTTCTGTTACAAAAACATTTTAATTACATTCCATGCATTTTTCCATAACCAAAATATCTTTATAAGGCACATACATTTACACCTAGTATCAGTTCCAGCTGATGCTGAAAAACCTGTCCTCAATTTAAAAGAAAAAAAATCTTTTGACAGTCTTCTTGCTGGCTGAAAGTTACTGTGGTTGCAAAAATTGTGAAATGTCTTAAAATACATGAGCTGCCTGCCTGTGCTATGTCCAGCAGTCAGCTGTCCCAGCAGTCATTTTGCTATTCAAGCTGCACAGTTGGTCAGCAATACCATGGAACAAATTGTCTTGTTCTACTGATGCACAACTTCCTGAATCCAGTACTCCATGAAACTACACTTATTTTCCTCATCTGGACCCTTCAGCTTTTGTTTACTATACAAACAACATAGTCCAGAATAGTATCAGCTATTGTGAAATGAGAATTTTAAAGAGTAAACTGTACTTAGCTTTGTGTAGTAAATGTCAGAGTAATTGAGCCCCATGTCTCATTAAGTGACTATCAAGCTTGGACATACTGGAAAATTTTGAAATCAATTCCTTTGAATAAGGAGCAAATAATCATCCATTTCTTCTGAGTATTTTTCAGCAGTAAATCCAAAAAGTGCTTTACAAAATGGGGGAGGGGGTGGAAGAAAACCCCCAAGACCCCACACCCAACAGAAAACAACCAAGCTTAGAAAACGGAAGGAGAAAATAGAACTTCTCTGAAGTTACCCAACAAGGCAATGCTTGAATAAATAAAATTCCTGTTTCAAAGTACAATCCAATCCTACAAATTACCAGTTCCCAGCTTGAACAAGAAACTACATTCAGCCATATACCATCTCTGTATTTAAAGGTAATTTAAAGGGCAGAAAGTGGTTTGTGTTGAATTACTATTTAGAAAGTGTTACTACCCAAGTAATGGAAAGGGAGTGCTCAATAATTTTAAAGGGGCTGTAGCAGATACTCCCAAAATATTAGTCATCAAGTGTTTTACTAGCATGTCTCTAATATAGTGCTGGGGAACTTGAAAAACAGTTCTAGACTTTGTGAAGCTACCAAAGTGGCCCATACAGCTGAAAACACCGGGTAAGGCAGAACACTACCTACATTTCTTTTCTGTTAGAGCCACCCTTGGAATTCCAACTGCCGTTTCCTTTGATGTGTTTTCTACAACTATTACTGATGAATTCTTTTTGTTCTTTCTAGCAATTAAAATCTATAGACACACAAAACATTATGTTTTACATTTAATGGAATGTAACTTGAACAATGTTGGCCTTCAAACAGTAGCTGAAGTCTGAATACATTAATCAACAGTATGACTTTCAGTGGGGGCTAAGTTCTCAAAAGCCTTAAAAAAAAAATCCAAGTCTTACTTAAATAATGAAAACTATAAAAAATAAATAAGGAATGCAAATTAACAGAGTAGAAATTGCCAAGTGCTCCATCAGACCCCTAGCTGCTCATTTCAAACTGGAGAGTCAAATATGGGGAATGGTTGCACTATTCTTTTCATGCACAAATTATAATAACATTTAGTTTCAAAATGAAATTCTTTTGGTCAGAAATCTGTACAAACTGAGTTTTTAAAAGTACAGTGAACTACAAAAAGATTAAATATGCAATTATAAAATATATTTATCCTAGGTTGTAAGAATATAAAATGTTTATGTTCATGTCACTAGTACATTACACATTACACATATTTAAGGATAACTTCTTTGCATTAATAATGTAAATGATACAACACTGTTTATTGCTTATGTCAGGCATGTAAATTTAAATCCAGACAGCCTTCAGTAGCTAAACCTCCATGGTTCAGCATTTGTTCAAGATCTAGCAGAACACCATTTTAAAAAGTGTATGAACAGTTGCAGCAAGTTTGTACCTGCTCATATTAAACAAAAAACATCAATTCTGTGGGGGGCAGCGGTTCGCTTTTCTAAGTACCTGCATTGGAAAGTCCTGAGATGTCGACATGAGATCAAGTTTACATCACTTCTCTATTGTATGTAACAGTCTGTACCCATTCCAGGAATAAGGAGTTTATGCTTAAAGTCACACCCTAATCATTACCTTCCAGCAAAATTAGCTGTTGGAGCAGTCACACTTACTGTTCACTTACAAGGAATGTTCTTGAAAATACATTTTCCAGCAAGAATAAGCACCAGCTAAAATCAGTGTACCAAACCCAATCTTAGTGAGAATAGGTTTCCAGTATAACCACCTTTTTCTTTTTCTTTCAGTCTCATTTAGCTTCTGCTTCATCTGCTGCAGCTTCTGTGCTGTGTTTGCTCTTCTATCCTCCCGCAGTCGTTTTCGTACAGAACTTAAAAAGAAAAAAAGGTGAATCTTACACTGAAGAATGGGAAAAAAGGCTATTATAATATTAAAACAAACTTCTTTCCAACACTCCCAATAGTTAACCAGCAATAGCATATGGCAGCAGTATATAAAATCTGAACCAAGCAATCTTTTATTATCTTTTAACCACCTTGACGTAGAGAGTTTCAGAAAGTGAAGCCCCACAAATAAGTAAAGGACAGATGTAAAGATGTACATGGTACTTCAGCTACGAGTTTGACAGAGAACAGAATAAGTTAAATTATCTGAGCTGAGTCTTTCACCCATCTGTGACCTCATTTGGTGGCTGAGATGTTTTGTGTGAAGGCTGCCTTTATATGCAATGCCAGGTACCACATGCAAGTGTCACAGTATTTAAACAGGTGCCTCCACTGCAGAGTTCACACCAGTGTCAACAATACACTGACTCCAACCACGACTCACAGCTCCATGCAGGTTTAATAGTACTCATCTCAGGATGCAAACCAGATCTTGATATAGGACACACAAAAAACCCGAATTCTCTGTGTTTCATTAACAGGACAACCTTGTAATTTGTGTCTCCAGAAGTGCCCTCACAATCTCTAAGCCAGCACAACTGACACAAAAACCAACTCTGACTGACTTCTAACACATACCCATACCCTCACTCCTTCTTGTGAGAGGCTCCTTCAAACATCTACAGAATTGCCGTCATTCTCCCTCAAAACACTCAAGAAGACAGAAAGAAACTCACTGGGGCATTTGGTGAGCCAGTTGTTATTCTGGAATTCCAGCCTAGCTACATTGAACTGCTGTGTTTCATCTCAGGCTGCAGCCCTTTGGGACAGACCCTGCCTCCTTCTGTGTACCACATGGCTCAGCTTGGCACAGCCCTGACCCAGTTTCTGGATTTCTGGCTATGGATCAACATTTGGCAACCCACATGTGGGAAGGCCCAGCTGACACAGTGCTCAGTCCCAGCTGAGGCATCAGCATTCCTAAGAAAAAGGCAAATTCACCTGACACAGCTAAACCACAGGAACCTACTCACAGCAGGTAGATTTAACATGAGCAGAGAGGCTGGAACATACATGACTCCAATAATACAACTTCAACCACTACACAGAAAGCAGTATGTGATAAAACCTTTGCGTTTCTGAGGAACCATTATTTTTTGAAACATAGGTTAGCATTGTATTTAAAAATCAGCATGAAATTATGCTGGACAATTTTAGGACCTCATTCACACTTCACAGTGAAGTTCACTGACAATCTGTTAAGAAAATGCATTCAAAGTGTGAGGCCTAGCTGCTTCAGTTGGAGACATTTGCTTTCCTTCTTTTGATTCCTGAACAGTAAAACCGTATAACAAGGAATCATTGAGATGGTATTTTTAAAATCATTAAATAAGTCAGTCAAATACCACCTGTTCTCCCTTGCTACTGCAGAAAGATCTTGAATGTTTTTTACAGTATGAAAAGCAGATAATAGTTCAGCCTTTTGAGAGAGTGTATCTGCCTTTTAAAAGTTTCTTTATCTTGCCTACTTTTCAATGTTCCCATCTGTGATATCTTGAACTTTAGTGGACAGGTCAGTGTTTATTTTCTCCATCTGATCTTTGTTCTCCAGGCCTATGCTGTTCCCATTGTACTTCTCTGTGGTTACTTTGATTGGGTGTGGAGGAGACTGCTCGGAACTTGGTGCTTGGTCCTCCTTAGAGAGCTCCTTCCATCGTTTCTGAAAACAAGGAGAACATATTTCAAACATTCCCCTGATATGAAAGGGCCCCCTTGCCAGGACATCTTCCAAAAGAACAGTCACATAAGTAGATTAAAGGAACTACCGGATCAAGAAAAAAAGTGCTAGATGAAGAAATAAAGTTAGGTCAGCATATGTCTTCTCCAGCAATCATCAATGATCCCTTTTTCTATTTTTCCAGGATGGTGCCACTGCAAAGGCATGAGGCCTCTACCTTCAGGGAATGTACTGGCCACAGCAGCTCCACAATTAGGAAGCATCCTGTCTTATCAAATCCTGCACTGTCCAGCACTTCCCACCTCCCTCTATTTGCAACAGGCCTGTGCTGTGCTCTTTCCTTTTATGGCTTCAAAATACAACAGGACCTTGTATAAAAGAACTGCCTAAAAAGAGACAACTGGGAAAATTTAACAAAAAGTTATCTATACCCAAGTCATAGCCTACTATTTCACCTAGTGGCCCATAAGCCCAGAGATCTACTGCATCATAAAACAGTTATTCATCTTGTTTTGGGAAGTAATCTGAAATGAGATGGAAAAAAAGAAATTGGAAGTAAACCTGATTTGATAGATCTCTGTCCTAATGGGTAACTGTCCTAATGATAAATAGTCTGAAGGACTTGCTAGAATGAAATTTCATGCAGAAAAGAACAGTGCACAGGAAGGAAAATAATCAGCCCTAAAAAACAATCACTTCTTTTCTCACACAGATCAGCCAATGCCTATAAAGACACAGAATACCTTGAAGGAAAAAAAAATCAGTTACTTGTAAAAGTCTGTGGTAAGGTAGATGAACTGAAAATTGAATCTTATCAAAACCAGTAATAGACTCCTGTCTGTGGAGTGATTTCAAGACTGCTGGTCTAAACTAAATATCAAACTCAGAGAATGATATAAAAAACAGCTACTTATAAATGGACAGCTGGCAAAATGAGTTTTAACAATGAACTGACTCCTCCGCTGCAAGCAAAAGTTGTGTTTGCACAGTTTACTGATTTCCAACATCCAAGGAGACATCAGAGACGAACATTCTGGCTAATGTTAAATAAGACAGGTGTTCAATAACCTCAGGCCCTCTCCATCATTAGCAGAGAGAAGTGAATACCTCTCACACTCTGAAGAGTACAACCGTTCCTTATGGAATAGAAATTACCTAGCTGACCTTGAAAGGAGAAATATGCTTTTTGAGCACTGCCCATTGCTTTTCTGCACTTAATGCTGAGGCCTAAAGAGAGAAGCACCAGGACAAATGCCTGCACTGCAGGAAATAGTGATTTAAGTAAGACACCTGAACAATCATAACAAGAAAAAGAGAACAAATGAGAAGAGTGCCTTCCTAGGCATTCTCTTACTATGAATAAATAACACACTTGAACGTGACAAGCAGTATTCTGAGCTGACAATTCTCCCTTGTATCCAGAAGTAAAACGTCCTGTGATCTAGATCAGTAAGTGTGGGAACCAGAGCTGCTTGATTTGGAGTATGGCTTTTACAAAAAACAAAGCAGAAAAATATTACTGGACACAATACATCATACCACCAGAAACAGCTTCCACAAAATGAAGAGACTAAACTGCTGTTAGCATTAGGATGAATCATGAAGTCTTCTTGACATATGGCACAGGTGTCAGACCAGCAGCACACTATCTAGGTCTTGACTAGCAGTTGTGTAAAATTATTTCTTTGTTTACACAGCAAGTCAAGAAACATTTGTTAAAGGGAAGTATCAGACTGCTACCAATACCACAAAGAAAGGAAATGTGTTTTAGCTTATCTGCTCTATTTGTGATTTTAAGAAATCAACAAATTAAAACAGCCCTAACATATGAAAGCAGAATTAGATGTGTTTCAAAGCCCCTCCTTCCAGTTCTCCCTCCCACCTAGTCCCAACCACTTAACAAAGCTGTAAGCTGTTATGTTTGCAAGCCACACTGACTAAACAGTGAGATTTGGTAATCTCTTTGCAGCCAAAATCATTATATTTGGCTAGATTGTACTAACAGTAACACAAATTTTAAAGGCTATGAAGAAACAAGGCAACTTTAACAATAAATATTATCTGTAGCATCAGACAATTTACCTACTAGGAAAATATCAAATATCAAGAAATTCTAATGCTATCTTCAAAGTTATACTGGGCATTACTTTCCCTTTTTAATATTAAAAACATCAACTGAACTTTTTAAAAAAAAAACATTTGGACAAATTATTTTTATATTTTATCTAAGAGGGGATATATACACACAGGGTTAGAAGTTTAGTTTGATAGAAGGCACTGAACACATACCCTTTGTTTGATACCTCCTAGGCATCTACTGAAAAAAGCTAATTATTTAAATCCCACAGAATTACATGTTTTAAAATAATCTGGAGCTTATTTTTTACTACTGCTGCAATCTGCTGTTCAAATACATGGAGCTAAACATTTACCTGTATAGTTGAATCCCCCATTATGAATTTTGCTCCTTCTATTACAGCCATATATGAAAATCTTAGTTGATCAGGAGTCTGAATAAGTCCCATTCGATATTTTCTCATATCCAGTAATACCTTCTTAATATCTACAGAAAATGGGTCTTTTTTCTCCATCTGTAAAGCAAGAATTACATTATATTGAAAAGTGTCATGGTATATAAAAAATAATTACAAGTAAAAATTAGTCATAAAATTCAATCTAAAAATTAATTTCTCCATATTATGCTTCTATTAGTTATATGGAAGATTACCATCTTAAATAATTTCTAATTAGTTTTTGAAGGAAATTTTAAAACCATCTAATGAAAACTTATTATGAACAAATCAAGGATTGTGTATTAAACAAATAAATTAGTACCCTAATATTAAGTCATAAAATTAAGACATTTAGATATCCTCAATTTTATTCAGGCTTGTATTTGAACTTTGAAATAGGACTGTAAGAATCAGAGCTGTAAAGTAGTATTTCCTACTGCTTCTGAATAGAATAGCAATTCAGACTGACTGACTATGGCAGAAGTACATCTTATTTTTCTCTCTTTTTCCTTATTTAAAGCAGAACCCCAAACCAAAGCAATGCACATGTTTGTCCCCACATTACATTTGCAGGGTGTTTTTGAAGTACATTTGCATCAACATATACCCCTATGTTTTTCAAAATGCATAAAACCAAAGAAAAACTGAAGTGAAAAACCCAACAAGAAATAAACTGAGAGGGTCTAACCAAACCAGAAAATGTGTCTCTTGTAATTTAACTGAAATCCTTTTTCAGTTAAACCTGTGCTGTCCTTTTCACTATTACCAAGCACAAATAGAAAACTCTGTGTCTGGACTTTCAAGCCCAACAAAAATTTTAATTTATTTAAAATACTATTTAACACTCAAGGTTCACTCATGTCATGAGCAATTAAGAGATTATGCAGTTCACTAAGTAAGCAAAAAAAACCTATATATCCATGTGGCACTGGAACTGGCTGCCAAGCCCCACTACCCAGAGAGCTGTACAGCAGGGGAAATTCTGCACCATCCTCCACTACACACTGCAGGAAAATCAGAGGCAAGCCTGACTTCTCATCCTAGTTCAGATAACAATAACAATTTTTCTCCATGGTTAAGAAAATGGCTCTGGAGAAAAAGACTTGTAGATTCAATCATATCAATATATATTCACCAGCTTGTATCATATTAAAAAAAACAACCAATCTTCAACCTTTCTAAGCACATCTTGCATAAAAAGAAAAGAATGTTTACAATTTACTTTCCAGGAAGCTTTGAGAACATATAATAGTCCTGGGGTACTTCAAGGGGGATTTTTAAATGCATTTCAAGAGCTGTGTTTTTGCCATCAAAATATGAGAAGAAAAAAAAAGCCTCATGTCTTAATTTAAGTTTCCACAGGAATGTCATTAACTTCAATGTTTTTAAAGACTTCTGACCAAAAAACCCATATTGGGAAGGCTGGCAGGGTGTCAGGAGAAGGGAAAGGGCGACAGAGAAAATGCAAACACTTACCAGAACAAGACAAGTATCTACTAACGAAAATGTGCCGGAACGTCCTATTCCCGCACTGCAGTGAACTACTGCAGGTCCGTGTTCGGGACTCAATGAACCAGATTCTCTGACTTTAAACAGGAAGTTCAGGAATGAAGCTGGGGATTCAGGAACTCCAAAGTCTGGCCATGTAGTATAATGAAAATGAGAGATCATCCTGGACTCACCACTCTAGAAGTGAAAACAAATAAACACTAGAACTAGAAAGCATTATTCTTTAGCTCAGTTAGCGCACATTTCCCCAGTCTCTATCAACAACTATTTTCTATTTTAAACCTCCCATTAAGACAAACATCCCAGTAACTTGCTTTAAGCTGGACGACAACCAACAGCGCATGCTGAAGCAGTTCTGAGTCGGTAATTTTCTCCTTGGCAATTATTACCACATGCATATTTTTTCTTCTTCTCAAACTTCCAGTATTATGTTTGGTTTGCTTTACTACTTACTCACAAATATCTTTGTCTACCAATAACGCAGTTCAATGGGTGACAACAGTTACTAGGCAGCTAGAAATAACATGACTGAAAAAACCCATGTCAGCATTGTACACACTGCATTCTTGCTTAGAGCAAGTTTTACTGCCAAGAGGTATTACATCTCCTTTATACTAACCACATTATTGAGAGGAGCAGGAAACATTCCTTCCTGGAAAAGGCTATAAAACCCATACAGCAGGATGCCTAGCAAGACTTCTGCTGGACATATATCTTTTTTAAGTAAAAAAAGAAGGATTCCAAAATCATACAGCTGCTTTAGAACCGCTCTGTTAGAGTTCCTCTCCTAACACAACCAAATAACCACAAGTACTGAAATGACAGCAAGAAAGTAGGTATATGAAATTTGGATCATATTTTTATGGAACTCACTTCAGACCTGCTGTTAAATGCCATGGTGATTCTGAGACAAAATGATCACTGATTTTAGCTCAGGTGTTTTAGAAATGTTATTTTTTTTATCATTTATTAATTAGGTTATTTAATTTTTAATTAATTCAGTTATAATTTATTATTTCAGTTGTTTAATTTTTCACATAGACTGAAACCTACAGAGACCTTGGCAAAGTTTGAACACAAAAGGATTTAAAATCAATGTATTCCCGAAAAGCTATGTTTCTCCTTCAGCAACAGGAAAATATAGCCATGAAATTAAAATAAATTCTACTGTTCTTCATCTACTCAATGTGTTTCTACTTCTTATGAGAGACAACTTATGAAATTCCTTTGTGAGACTAAAATAATCCATTTCATGGTTTCCAGAGTGTCAAAAATAGTCTCCCAACTTGTTTTTTGCCTTCAATGCTCAATACTGCAAGACTGCCAATACCTTCAGAGAAAACAGTGGATATTAGCATGACTCCAGTCACTGTCAGATGCACAGTTATCTTCCAGAAATATTTTGTCTTTTGGCTAGGTGCTCAACAAAGATAACAAAATGATCTGCGATATTAGGAAAATGAGTTTGCATTAAGATTTCATAGGGGAAAAAAGAAGTATCAGGCCCTAAATTTTGTAGATATACCAGGACTTCCCTTTGTCTGGAGGAAAGCATTAAAGAGTTCACATTTTCTCTCCTACTGCCCTTCTGTACCTAGTTTTTCAAGTAGCAAGTTAACTCACAAATTAACTGAATGACCTGTGTGTTTAAAAATCATGAAGACACATTTTTCGTAAGAAATCTGGAAGTAACACTTACGCAATTTCCTCTATTTCTAAGAAAAATAATTCATCACTTTAGATACAAAATTAAGAAGAAAACTGGAGAGGTGAGCTAAATGTACATGCTAAGTAAAGGTTGAAGTTGCTTCTTGTGAATCTAGACAGTCTTTGTAGGTGGTAATTGATGCTCCCTACTTTAAGAATCTGAAAAAGCATTCTAGATGAAAGCATCCCTTACACCTCAAGAAGGAAAAAAATGTCTTTTTTACTGTCATTTGATTTTTGTCACCTCAAAACAGTGACCTGTGGGATTTGTTTGTGTGGGCTTTTGTTTGGTTGGGGGATTCTTTTGTGTGGTTTTTTTACCCCAGTCCCATCCATAACAAGCACTGGCATCTTCTTCCTAAAGAAAAAGAATGAAGTATGGCTAAGTGTCACCCTTCTTATATACTAATCTGAAATAGTTATTTCTAAAAGAGAGATTAAACTGTGCTCTTGTACATGTCACTCTGCTCTAACCCACAGAATTATGTTTTTCTTTCCTTTCTTGTATGAAGGCTTTAACCATCCCATGATTTTACATCCCTTCAGCTCATTGTAAAAATACCTAGTCTCTTCATCTCTCTACAAGAGTCCCATTGCGAGGCACTGGAACCAGCTGGTCATCTTTGAATTCACAATCTCTAATCCTACAGCCAAATCCCATTTGAGTATTTCAAACCTCCCACATTGCTCTCTTAAACAGAATGGCTCTTTCAAGTGGCGCTTGGCAGTCAAGCTGTACAGCTGAAACACTGCCTTTGTGAGGATCTGTACCACCCTTTCTTAAACAACTCCCAGTCACTGAGCCATGCAGCACTTACATGAAGTGACGTGGGACTGTTATGAGAAGTGGCTTTTTGATTAACAAATGTTAATTGACAAAAATTCAAACAAAAACAACTAATTTAATCTGAAGTGTTACCAGGAAACTAGCTAATCTTTTAAAATAAAATCCCCTAGACTTCAAAATTCAGGCAGCAATATAAAATTTTATGTTATACATGAAGGACATATTTCTGCATGGTAACTGCAAACCAGCTTGATCTATGGTTACTACAATGCACTTTTCAAAGATTTATTCCCTAAAACAAGCTACCAAAAAACAAACAAACAAATCAAAACCCAAACAAACAACAAACCCCCCTTGAATAATGATGGGGCAACACTATGGAAATTTTACAAACTACTGGGATAAGCTTTCCATAAATAACCAAGACATCTAAACCTGATGAACTTGTAAAGCTGCCACCACACTGCACAGTTCTGCACTGACTGCTGGAAACGCCAACAGTACGATCAAAGGACGATCAAAGCACAAGCTCTAAGTTACAGAGATCCACATGAACACTTGAGCAGAAAAAGAATATCCCATTAGGTTAACTTCCAGCAAAACAAGCTTTGCCATAATCTTTTTAGAGTGACTATCCAATCACTTGAAAAAAAAAAAGAGCAAAAATCTTAAGAGTAACTTCAGGTTGTTCAGTCACCTGGGAGTTTGAACATGAATAAAATGCTACCAAAATGCTCAAAGGTTAAGTTGGTGCCTTCAGGGTCAGGTAAAACAGGGGACAACAAAAAATGCTGGTCTGTCAAGTTTCACACCCTCCTTATAAAAGCCATAATCAAAGTGCTACTGAAATGGTCAAATACATGAAGATGTAACACACCAACAACCCTACAGTGGTCCCATATTTAATGAACACACCTTAATTTCATTTACAACTAATGTGGTCATATAAAAATGAAGAGGCATGCAATAATGGCAATATTCTATAAACTGAAATTTAAAATCATAAATCAGCTTTTACCAGAGCCTCCTCTATTTGTTCATTCATGATGGCCAAAATGTTTTCCAAAATTTAAATAAAAATGGCCCTGAGGATAAGAGGGCCAAATAATCATCACAAGCATTCTGGTTCATCCACAGGATAAGCTAGTGAGTGCCACTAAGCAGTCTTGCATTACCTTAATCTGACAGTCACACAGAAGCTTGGTACTAAGTTGAGAATCTGTTTTACTAATGGGGTTTTCCAAATATTTGCTATTTGTAGAGGATTTAAAATTCCACTTGGGATTTATTAATGGTCCATACTCTGAAGTATCACACCACCAGTGTGACAACAAATTTAGCTCATTTCTCCTAGTCCTTTCTCCCCCAAACAAATACCTTCTTTGCAGACCTCAACCTCTCCTACTGCTGTATTTCTACTTCCAGAAACTCAGTCTGAGATACATTCAGAAAGGGTCCTCCTGCAATTTCAAATCCCACTGCTCCACTTCCTCATCCAAGCAATCCCCGGTCTCCCTGAAGACCTGATGCTCATATGCCCTCGCATAGCTTGTCTGAATTCCTCAGTACCTGTGGAGTAGTTTTGCTTATAAGCATTCATATTATGTGTCACACTGTATCTTTCTCAGGATATCAGGGTTGCCACACCAGAAATTATTGAAAACAAAGTTTTCTTACTCTAAAGACCAATACATGAAGTTGTGACATTAAGGAAAAAAGAAAAAGCTAAAAGCAACAATAAAGAACAATATAAAAATACATATTCAACACAAAGTGGAGTCTTTCCTAAGCTAGATGTCAAGATCTAACAATTCTCCTGCAACACTGTCGCAAAAAGGTTGTTTTATAGATTTAACAATAAACTGTCATAAACCTCACTATCACTTCTCCAATAAGCTGAGAGACTTTGCTTCAAATCACAGCCATTCAACAGCTTCACACATAAATGATTACAACATTTGAACATGGACACAGTATCTTCCTTCCACCCTTATTTTCCAAGAGGCACTGGTTGGTGGAAGCCTTCACAGTAAGTTTCTCAAGGGACAGTTCTGAATCTGAGCTATTACAGTAGAAAGCAGCACTCAACTTCAGAAGAGCTGACAAATGACACCATCAAACCCATGAAGAAAAATGAATCATGACAGAAAAGTAGCTTCAAGTGCCTGTATTCTAAAATGCAGACTGGGTCAGGCAAAAAAATAAGGGAATTCTAAAATAATTACCAGCAAAACAAAGAACATTAGGAATCTCTCCAAAACTTTTGGAAAGATACTGATAAACACCATTGTCTCTCCAAAGCTTTACTGGACTGTGCTAGCCCCAAGAACCATTTTTTTTTCCTAGAACAGATATTAAAAAAAAATCAAATAAAAAAATTCCTTGATATAATCCTAAAAAAGAACAGCCCCCAATCTCACCTGTATTTCTAAGTAATCTTTAACAAAAGCAACAATAAAACCAACCACATGCTCAGAGGTTGTTTCATTGGTAACAATATAAACAAACACTTTACTCTTCATATACCTGTATTTTTTTTATGTCTTAAAGAGATTTGCTGCAGTAAGACAAACTTACTTGAGCTCAGAATGGCTGCATTATAAAGGCAACCTTGGTTCTGTTTTCAAGGAAATACTAAAATTCAAGTATTCTTGGCATTCAGAGTATATTTTGTTCATGAGTCATCCTATATTCCAGGCACTGAATGGCTAAATGTCTTACACTCTGCCTCCACCAAAGGCCCCTCCAGAATAACTTATATAAACACAGTTAAGCTCACATTTCAAGTTATTGCAAATACTCAGTTCCCACAAGTTTTATGGTATAATTATCAAATTCTTAAAAAAGGCTGCATATAACATTGACAGTGTTAGACTAGAAACTATGTAGCTTTTTTTGCTTGAGTAACCAAGTATGTTATGCTTCTTCTACAAGAATTATGCTTTCAAGTTAACATTCATGAAGCCTTACCAGAGTGCTAGAGATAAATATAAATAAATATTAATTACAGAAAGATTGGTATTTGTGAAACTGATTTATATGACTGACCTGGGTTTGCCATCTTAAACCAGGACAATGACACACAAGAAACTCTGTACAGTGCTGACAGGCCTGCACTTTTGGTCCAAAACAAACCCAGAAATTTAAGTGCTCCAACTCTAAAGTCTACTGCAGTATACATTACACTGTTCCTAGAGACATTTCTGCATTTTCCAGTTAATGGTATGTTCAAACATATACATGTAAAGAAAATTGCATCCTTTGAAAATAGGATGTTTAAAAGTAAGGGCCAACATCAGCCAAACAATTCCACAAAGACGACTTTTTGGCAGTTATGAAAACTTGCCTCAGCTTTCCAAAAGGAAGAGATGTTCTTTTTTAAGCACTAGCTAGCCAGCATTACTCATCTTTCTTTTGCTTTTGCTGTCAATAAACAAACCACTAAAGAGAAATTCTTCAGGTCAGCAGGACAGTATTTCATAAAGCTCTTTTAACACTGAGAAGACCAAGGAACAACATGCCAAGCTTTATCATGTTGATCTCATGAGGGAGGTTAAGAATTAATGATTATCTCAGAATATCATCAATAGTTACTATAAATTCAAATATTTGGGACCAATGTATCAACAGTTGTATAAAAGAACACGCAGAACATTGTCAAGCGTTCCTTTCCCAAATTCTCCGACAAACTTGAAAACTTGCCATACTAGCACTTTCAATTAATACAAGGCAAGATTTATAGGGAGAGAGAACATCTTACAAGACATAGCTGGAACAAACAGACAAGCTCTTCAATTCTGTCTTCCACTCTGAAACAGAAGCAGCAAATTCCAACCCAAACTCAGGTCAGGAACAATTTTTTTGAGATTAACTTGGTTCAATTGTCAAAGTGCTTAATTTTTTTAAGAGAAAAGGATGGTTGGTCCTGCGAAGCAAAATGGGAGGTAAGCAAGAGGAGATAGTTACCTATCTATCTACAGGTGGTAATTACCCCTCCTCCGCAAAAACTTAAGACAGTTGGACTAAATTACCTGGAAAATTAAACTTCCACTAAAAAAATCAGTAATTACTCAGTCAGGTTTCTGATAATCAAAGGAAATCAGAATTTTCCACTCTCATGTTTCTCCCTTTAAATTAATTCTTACAGCTCATCCTAGAATCACCACTACCTTCACTTAGAATTCAGCATGTTAAGGTACTGCCAAATGGAAAATACAAGTATAGAAATGCCAAAGATGTTATCTCTCCTAATGTATAGACTGAGGTCTAAATCACTTATTTCCACACAAACATCTTCAACATTCTCAGAAGCAAAGTGCATTAAAATTTCCAGAGTAAAAGCTCACTGAAACCTGAAGTGACATCATGCTAAATGGTTCTCATGATACACTTAAGCCCATGAATAGGAGCTGTAGAGACTGAGAAAAGCTTACGTTGATATTTTCTAATTGCAGTAGATGCACTGTGTAATACGATTTGACATCTTCAGACACTAGTCTCACACGGAAACCTGTTTCACTGAATGCCATAACTTCCTCTTCTTTTGTTGGCCAGTATTGTGCACACTTCACCTAAAGATTTTTTATTTTCAAAGAGAGAAAAGGAAGGGAAAAAAAAAAACAAAAAAAAAAAATCTTCGTTAAATATCGTGGTATCTTGGGCTTTGCACATGCAGATTCTGAGTCCACACTGTCCAACACAGTAGACTCAAGTACCTGCTCCCACTCTGAAGAATTCTAAAGTTCATAACGTTTACAGCCAAGTTACTACAACTGTTTCAGTGGCTATTATGCATTCCAGCTTTTTGTATTTATGCTTTATTTCATCACATGGCTAAAGTGTTTTGAGATACATGTTAAGCCTTCCCTCTCCCTTCTAGTTCTAGAGAACTTCTAGTTCTCTACAGGGAACTGAGATCTCTGCTCAGCTATTTCAGCATTTCCCCCCTTTGTTTCTGACTTGCACACCTGCACATTTACAGAACTCATCTATCACACCCAGTTCTACCCAGGCTTGCTGAATACTGGAAAGTTCTAGTAACACAACAGAATGAACTAACAAACCAATGCAAAACTATTCTTTGTCTTGTATTCCTCTTGCTTTGCACTCAAACTTTCTGTAGGAAAATTTTTGCAGAAGAAAATAGATGACTTTTTAACAGACCAGTCAAATTTTTTTTCACTAATCTGCACTGAATAAAAAACATAAACCTCAAATGGTATGCATTTGTAACAAAAATCTGCAATGCTTTTAGGCACAGCAGCAGAAAAATTTCTTTGTAACACAAGGTTTGTGTACCCCGTTACATTTAGAAGAATTAATCTAAAGACACTTGTTTTCCCACCTTCTACTTTGTCCTAGGAACATCTTACACTGCCTCTACTCCTCACCAGTTCTATCTGCACATCCTTTCTCAGACTGTTACTTTCACCTTTCTGGATGTACTGTTTGTTAGATACTATTTTCATCAAACTGAACTGTTAGCTCCCTCACTTCACTGTTATATTAAATACATATTATACTGCACACCAGTGAGAACGCTTGTTAGTTCTTCTAATGTAACAATCAAACATTGCTCAACTGTATTAAAATTGTGTAGCTTATTTTACAACTTTAGGCCTAATATCACTACTTACCGACTCTTTTTCAACAATCCTGTTCAACATGACAACTGCTTTGGTTTGTTGTTGCCATACCATTAGCCAAAAATGGCAACATGTATTAGGTAGTGGACCCTGTGTAGTAAAAAACACAAAAACAGGCATGAGAATGTATAGGCAAAGCAGTGTTTGAGCACAGTTAACAGTTCACTGTGGGAAACAGGAAAAAGTCCTCCTCTTAAGTTTAAACTAATTATTAGTAATAGAATGATAGAAATGGTAGGCAAGAAAGTAGCCACACTGCACAGATCATTCCAGGACTTAAAAGGGCTGTGTTTTTTTTAAGAAAAAAATACCAAACAACAAAACAGTAAGAACTCAGGGAAGGGATATTTTGGTTTAAGCATCAATACTATTGTGCTGTTAGAAGAAAAGCTACTGCAGGCATGCTTAGAAGGTATAAGATGGATTAAGGGGTAGAAGTAATGTTGTAATGTATTTACAAAAGAACAGAAAGGAGCAAGAAATATTTGAGAAGCTTCACACATAGTAAATTACTCATATTTCAATATCCCCTTTAGCTTTTCTTAAAACAATCTGTTCGCAACTACATCACACTGTCAGTTAATATGAGATACACGTAATTCATGGACACAAGAAACAATCCAAATACAAATTATAAATGTACAAATTCCCCTTCCTCGATTCTCAATCCCTGTAATAACCCAGTAATTGTACTACTTACCTGTGTTAAAATATAGTATCTCTGGGCTTCTTCTATGACCACTAGGCTGGCATTGATATAGTCATTCTCAGTGTTCTGGAGTTTTACACGACTGTGATCATCTAAAATTCAAAGAAAATTAAGAATTAATGATGCATCCATAAGTCTGACAAGCAAGTAGAACTAAATTCTGTCATATGACCCAAACAGCAAACTACAAATGTAAGTGAAACTAATTTCTCACATAACTTTTGCAGCTGTCCCATTCTCCCTTTGGCATTCCATCAGAGTAGTTTCAAGGAGCTATTAATAGAAGCTGCTCAGAAAACTGGAATACCTATTTTTCTTTAAAAAACCCAACCAAACAAAGTAAGCTTTCCACACAAGCCTAAAGGTCCCCACAGTCATCCCTCAACAGCTGCATCTCCTTAATACAACAGCACCACAACTCACACTAGACAACACTGTCTTATTACACCAGATTACTCCACTGCATTTCCTAAGTTCAAAATTTCAAGACTTTAGGTGAACTGAAGTTTTAAAGGTTGAAGTAGAATCATAAAGTTAAGCTCACACAGCTAAAAATAAACCAATAAAATCTACTTGCAGTAATTCAAGCCAGGCTTTGATCAATTTCATTTTCCCTGTAAGACATTGTCTAATATTATGCAACATAAAAATACTAAAAAGTCACATTCAAAACCAAAAATAGTCAACAAATCATCCAATTAAATGAAAACTAATCAAACTACATGGTCTAATCTCAGAATTACACAAGCAAGGCCGACGATTCCCCTGTTTACAGCAGAGGCAAGCAAAGGACTCTGTTTAAAATTCTACCATTAATACGAGAAAGATCATCACACTGTCAAAATGAATAACTGTATAATAAAAAGTCATTGTGGTTGTTCTTAAAACATTTTAGTATCTGATTTACGAACATCTAGGAGACATTTAGGTAATCAGACTTGTTTGCAGTAAGTAATTCTTCTTCAGTCATTCATCAGTCACTGTATTAAATAAACAGCACTTTCAGTTTAGAATTTGTACACAACTACATGCCAGAAAATGAGATTCAACTGACTGTAAACCTCCTGAAGCTCAACACCTAGCAGACTAAGAAGGGAAAATAAAACATAGCAAACTAAAATTAATTTAAGAAACTTCAATGTATTTCAGGAAGAGATGGAAGAGATTTCATAAGGAAACCAACAGCAGAGTGAATTACAATGCAGTACCAATTATTAAAACTAAATTCACGTAGTCTAACCCACAAAACTCATTGAGGGCCCTGGCTACTGTTAAAATGCCAGCCTATCCATCCTTGCACCAAAAGGCTCGCTTTGGGAAACACACAAAGCCATGAGCTTTGGCATTAGCAACTACCAAGTATCAAATTCAGCACAACTACAAGAGTTGAACTCACAGCCAGCCTGTGCAGCACAAGGTTTATCTCAGAAATCCATAAATATAAACCTGGATAGGCAAAAAGATGACGGCAATCAAAAAACAGCTGCTGAATTAGACTCTTGTTCTACAGACAGTTTGTACGATTTAATATGAACATGTTCCATGTGTCTGGAAACCTGGGAGAAGTACATTTACTAGGCCTTGATCTGCCTTTACATTATCCCTCATCTATCTGCTATTGGCAACCCGAAGATGATCTTGTTGCATTCAAGTAAAGAATTCAACAGTAAAGCAGAACTGTTTTGCTGCTACTGAAGCACTCAAATTCTCCCTACCTCCCTTAGCTCCTAGCTTTTATATGCAGTCACATACCAACATGCAGAGAACAGAAAAATGTTGAAAATTTATTTTTTATATAAAAGCATGAGAAATATACTGGGTTGGTCTGTTTTCATTAGCATTCCAGTTGTAAGGCAACACCATTTTAACTTTCCAAAGTCTTAAAAGATTTATGATACCCCTGTATGAAGAAAAAAAATATATTATCGAAGCCAAGACACAGCAAAATTAAGACACATGTGCATTCTAAAGTAAAATACATCTCTTTATATTATTTTGCCAGGATAGGAAAGCATTACTTTTTCCTTTCGTGTATCACTTTATCTGAAATGTTTCTACTGGAAAGAAACCAAGACCTCTGTAAATATTACATGTCATCTGCCAACAGGAAAATCTTAAGATCTTGTTATAGTAAATCACACATACCGGTACCAGTGTTCTCGGAAAGGTGACGCAAGCAAGCACTGTTAACAGTTTAATCACCCAGCGGCAGCTGCTGTACTGCTGCCAGGGGCAGATGACTGCAGCCTCTAAGGAGGTTTCCTACCTTAATCCTTACATTCTCAGATCAGTTTTTTCCCTTCTTATAAATTCTGCTTTGTAAACATGACAAATAAAGTTCTGCAAGTTGTTTTTTAAAGTCCCTTTAATAACTAATTCTATGTATAGACAGACTCCCTCTCCCTCCCCAAGTAAAACAGAGGAGATCCTGCAAGAGGAGATGTCTCAAGATCCTCTGGCAGACAGACCACAGTACAAAAAAAAAAAAACCAAACAAAAAAAAAACCAAAAAAACCCACTATAATATATTGATTTCCCTTCTTTCAAGGGATGAGGTTCTTAAAGGACACAATGACCTAGAAACCTCATTCAAACTCTGGCTTGCTCTTCTGAATTAACTGAAGCAAGCCAACTTTTGAGAGTGAGATAGCTGTAATGTATTTCCCGTATTTAAATAATTTCCAAAGTACTTAGATTTATATGAATGATAAACCTGTCTTTAAGATAAGATTTATCTTATGTGTTGCCATGCCCACAGCAGCTAAAATACAGTACTCATTTTCTGAAGCACTAATTCCCCTATTTCAACAAACTATGCCGCCTGAAAAGGAAGTGGAAACCTTAAAAATTATTCTCATTTTCTCCTGCACTGAGAAAAAACACTCCCAGAATGACCTTGTCTGAGATAAGCAAACTCTGATTAGCCATTTCCAGTGAAACCCTGACAATACTTCCCATGCATCAAATAAAGCCAAGACTTCAGAAGCTCATCAATCTGCTCACACCCTGCTTAACAGAAAATGACAGATCCAGTTAAAACCAAGAGACAAAATGTTTGGCATTTTATATCATGCAGTTCATGCAATTGGTTAATGAAAGGTTTTCATTATAAAACAACTGTGTTTCTAGAACACTGCATAACTTCAAAATTATCTTTTATCCAAGAAATGTCTCTGGTCCCCCAAATACAGAGCTATTAACAATAAAGGAAGGAGAAATGCTACTTAGTGGATTAAAGAAAGTCATAAATAAAACATGCAGCTGCAAGCCATCCCAGTGACCCTGCCTGACCTTTCCCGCCTACCAACAAATCCCGTCCATTTCACTGATCTAAATCTAGTCTATCTGAGCTGCTAAATTATTCAAATTGCTTTGTCACTAGATTTACAATCTCAAGTTTCAGAGATAGCCTAAGGCAAATGAAAGGCAAAAGGACTTTTTGTCACTGCCCTGTCATTGATTGTACACAATGAATGCCATCATATCAGTCATGGCCTAGCTCACCACTGAAATGTACTCACACCGAAATAAACATGTCACTACTGCACAGCATCCTTACACTTCTAAGCAGGACTATGGAAAAAAAACTTAAGGCACATTAAAGTTTACATAAGCACGTAAAATTCCTCTCTTCCCCAACCCCAAAGGAAGTATTTCCAAACTCAACAGCAGGTTGAGTTATTTTATAATGTTTCACATTGTAAGATGTTTAAGAGAATAATTAGGTAATGTCAAAGAAATCATCAATGTCACCTTCTAATACAGACAAGAACTGCAGCAGGCTTATTTTGGGCTGAACATCTCCCTGTTCTCAGCAGATACACTTGAAACACAGGACCGACAGGGAACATTCCTGCAATGATAATTAATCAGCACCATGTGTAAAACCATTTAAATCAGCTCCAACTCAGTTCCCTGTAAAGCAGAATACTCCTCATGCTCCTCTCCTGTACTCTATGCCAACTGTAAGCCCACGGTTGAAAGATATGACACAAAATCTATTCAAGGCCACAGGAAGAACACCTAGAAATCACTACCTTGCAAAATCTTCCAAAAGCAACATGATCTATCAGCAAAACTGTTCAGATGATCCAGGTTCTTGAGCCACACATCATATTACAAAGGAATAGAAAACTCTGTAAACCTCCATCTACCCTTCAAAGGAAAAAAAAAAAATCCTGCCAACTTCACTAAAGAGATTTTCTTCTTGCCTGTAATCTGGGAACTCAGCTCTAAAGATGCTTACAGTCAATCTGAGACACTAGACTCCTCTGAAAACAACTAAGGATAAGATTTAGAAGGAAAATTAATTACAGAAATCTTTGGAGTTTCATTAAAATTATTAATGAAGAATAACAGCCTCACAAGTTACTTTCCTCTGTTAACAACATTTTCTGAGAAATGGTTTCATCTGTCCAGAAATGACTGGCTGTCAAACCAAACCTATTTCAGATTAACTTCCTGTTTCAGTCCTATGAAGCCAAAATACTCCTCTGCCTATTCTAGACTAATACCAAACTATTAGACTGCTATTTTTTTTTCAGCTAGCCAGCAATTCTTACCAAACCAAATTGATATATATATGCTACAGATCTTTAGCCAACAAAAATGGACACTAACAAAAATACTTATGAAATTGGAAATACTGTGAAACTCAGCTGTAAAGGGATGATTAGCCGTTCCCAGCAAAGATAAATCAATTTTACCTCAAAATGTGTGTAACAGACATAGTTTGTTTCAGTGTACTTGTCCCAGGTATTACAGCTGAAATGGAGCAAACTAACCCAAAGTATTTTTTCCTGGACTCGTAACTAACATATTTTCTGTAAAATTAAGAAATCTTTGCATTTCCTCTTGCAGACACACCACCTCAGATTTTAGACTGGCTTGGCAGCTACCACAATTAACCGTTTTCTCATTACTTTTGGAGGAATAAAACCCTTTCTTTAAATTATGCCTTAGAGTATGATTAAGTAGCTAGATCTTAAAAGTTCAACAGCTGATTCTGAAGGCCTTTGACTATCTGAGAACATTAGTATCACCCATTTTTCATCTAAACACTATTAAAAAGCAGCAAAAATTGCAAAGTGAAGGATTGAGACATCAAAATTGTGTGAGACTGAGTTGTCTCACATTTCTGCAACACCAGGTCTTTGTATACATGCACCACAATTAGATGTGTTCACCAGAGTAAACAAACCATGCAGCTTTTCTCCTAGCTGCTTTGAAATTTTATTTATTATTTTATTTGCTACCTTGAAATCTTATTTATCACACACTCCCTTACAGGTCTTTTTCTACTCCTGACTCTCATCTTTCTTACTGAAGCAATGATAAGTCATATTTGAAAACACATAAGTAAAATTCAGGAGAAATTAACTAGTTCAAACACAGTGTTCTGCTCTGTTCTCCTGGTACAGCTTTGTTCCTAGTGCCCAGTTTTGCAAGCTATTTAGGTGAACCAATTCAAACCATTTTCTTTCATAAATGCTAAAAGCTGACACATTCTTCATAAACTTCACTATCTTATTCATCATGAAATAAATTATGTCAGAGTGTAACAGCTCTAGCCTTTTCCTGAGCCCTACTTTTCTGAACTACTACTTCAATATTAGATTTTATCTGTCTCTCTGCTTTTGCCTTGGGTCCAGGAATTAATACAATAATTTATATTTTTTTCTACTGGCTAAACATGCATTTTAGAAGCAGGCTTTGCCATGACTAAGGCAAAGGCGTTTGATGCTCTTCATTACTGTAAAAGGCATGCCATGATTAAAGAAAACATTGAGCTCCAAATAACTGCAGAAGAATGAATACAGGTCACATCTGCAAAGTATTACTGGAAGTATTATTACGTACTACTTCTATAATACAATAAACTTTTATTTATTTAGGAAACAATATTTTTAAAAAGAAAAAAGCACAAACAGTTTGAAAGTAAATTTTCACTCTCTTAACATAAATTACATTCACATATGGGAGAAACTGTAGATAAATGCACAGACACAGCTTCTGACATGGAAATTGTACAGGATGTTAGACCCAGAACTAGAACCTGGGACTTCTGGGTTCAAATCTAATTTCCTACCTTCTCGTCTTACAACCTCCATTGCAACTTAGGTATGAAACAGAAAGTGAATAAAACACCTCTTTCAGCATCAGTAAGATGATGATGCTGTGCTGCAACAGGACAGCAAAGCTGGGACACCCAAGTGCCGCTGTACAGACCAACATGTTTCCACCAGAGGACTGGCTCCATTTCCTGAGCCTAATGTGAAAGCCAGTGAGCCTTGCCTCATGTGAGGTATCTTCCTCAGTTCTGGACACTCCTCCACTGGAATGCCACACAGACACAGCAAGGAAGCCTTGCACTGAATTTGTAAGTTCAGTTACATCAATGTGCGGCACAGGGGGTCAGCACAACGCCAGACTGGACTCATTTGGTACAAATTCACTGTGCCAATGATGCATCCTAGCAGCAGCCTAAGGAGCAGTATTGCATCTGACTGCTGTGACTCAATCCAAGACCCTTTCCGTGCCATTTTGAGAAGTGCTATGCACATGCTGTCACCACAACTTTCAACTGGAAACAAAGACCTCAGCACTTCTCCAAATCTTATAATAGGTATTCAGATCAGGCTCTCAAATGAAAAGCCCCAATATACCAGCAATCCTTCAAAAACTCTAGATCCAGTAACAAGGTGGTTTTGAGGACTCTTCAGTATTCTGGGAAACTTCATAAGGAACACATAAACGTTTTATCTGTCCTAACTTTAACATATTGCAAAAAAATGAAAGCTTTATAATTTTTTTCCCCTTATCTGTAGCTCACTTCATTTTGCAATAATTTTGGCTTACGATTTCTGAAGTAAAATGCTGATGAAAGCTGATGAAGCTCACAAAATCTCTCTAGCAGAGATGTTGGTCTAAAAAAAAGTTTTTTTCACGTGAGAAATATGATCATTATGTCAAAAAGAACATTTTATGGCAATTAGTCAAAGTACAAAGCACGTCACACCTTATTTACTACACAGGCAAAGCCAACAAAATCTCAAGCATTTTTTAAAGCAGCATTAGAAATTGAGTGGCATTTATCCATACCACCTTAAAAATGCGCAGAATCACTCAGTCCAAAAAGAGAACACTTCTGTTAGTCAAGGCATATTAACTTAATCTCTATATTCATTTTTTTACAACAGATAAAGCACTATTAAACAAATAATTTCCGTATGATAAAAATATCTCTAAAACATTACTCTGCAGCTCACCAAAATTTACCTATACACTAATGACATACACTATGATTTGCAAACATCTTTCATTCATCATTCAGCACAATGAGTTTAACATGCAGACTTTCCTCCATCCTGTTATACACATCTGTGTATGTGTTACAAAAATGCCACATTTATCATAGGATATAGGCCTACAGAAAGAAACAAAATGCAAAATTTGCAATGACCATGACTTATCACCTCCAGTGTCAACAGGATAAGAGAAGGTCTAGTAAGTGTACTGCAATTATTGCAGAAAAGATACTCACATGGACTAACATCTCTGTATCTGTTTCGATTTCTGTTTTCTGGATATTTTGCAACTCTGTGAGGGTAGTCACTGGATTTATGTCGGATTTCCTTAAAAAGACAAAGTAAATAATTGACTTGTAACCAGCAACCTGATTAAAAATAGTGTTCTACACATACTACTAATTAAGTAATATTGTTAATAACTAACATTTTTTAAACCAACTTTTACTGCACCTAGTGTCATTTTCACTCAGAAGATGTCGCAATCATGGCCAAACTGCTACCATTTATCTTCCTAAAGTAATCCTCCTAAAGGCTAAAACTACCAAATGTAAGCACCACTGAACAAGCAAGTGCTGCATCAGGAACAAACAGCAAAACAACCCTCACCCCAGATACACTTATTACTTTACAGTTATCATTACACTTACAGTTTACCTCAGAGCGGCACATCATCTCCCAAAGCAATAAGGGACCCAGACACAACAGCAGTATTCTGCTGGCTCCTTTTTAAAGTGACTGGAAGCATAAAACCCCACAAATGTAAGTGAACCAGTTAATGATTTTATGGCTACTATTAAGGGCCATAGGATTATTCTTGGTGGTTTGACGGCTGATCCCACACAGCTGTAGTTAAACGTGAACCAATATGAAGAATTCTAGAGTCACAAATATCAATGTGAATCAAAGCCTGTTCTCCCCACACACTAATACAAACCTTCTAATAATATGTGAGATATTGAGATTCACACACTATTTTAAGCACCCTACTGTTTACACATTCTGAATGTTCTGCTTTATTGATTTCTTCCCTGAGTGCACCTTTTCTACAACTTCACTAAGACATACAGAATTACCTTATGCATAAAACTGAGAACAGCCTTCAATGTATTCTACTCTGTCTTTATATCTCTGTACTGATGCTATCTCAGCAGAAATGTTGCACAGTACAGAATTAACAATATTTAACTTTGAATTCTCCTTCTGTTTTTAGATTATGTTGCTACATTTGATCATTATGTCCCAAAGGGCATTTAAACTTCCTATTACAGCTGAGCATTCTTTGGTCTTCTCAATGTTCCCACTATCTTTGTCTCCAAACTTCCTAAATAGTCTAGTCTATTCCCAGACAATGAACACAGCCAGAAAGGGCATGAGCGGAAATGTAACATACAAAAGAAAGCACCAATTCTTAGCATTGGTTGTGTGACCTTTCTTTAAAATGTACTGCCAATCTGCAAAGAACATAAATCACAATGTGGAGTAGCATCTGCCAAGCACCAATACTCCACATATTTGTAAAATCGCTTGATCTGTTAAGATTTTTATTTTGATACAGCACACTGCAACTTCTCTTGTTTACATGGCTGACAAGCTTTGGGAGTTTGCACAAAGAATGAATGGATCTGGCTGGCATTCACACCCAAGTTCCCGTGAAAGGTAAATTTTGTATTACTCAGTAACAGGATGCAATACATTTTTTTCTTAAAGCACCTGCACCGTCAGTGCACAAAATCAGACCCATATTTTGGTAAAGAAATACTAAAATAGCTGGAAATACTTCTACAGTGATGGCGTGGGAGGGCAGGCTTGCTAAAAAGAATTAAACTTAAGGAAGTTTAATCACGAATTCTAAAATCAGTTTTCCCACATAATATTCAGCCATCATGCAGGATCACAGCACGCCTTGACCTGGAAGGGACCCACAAAAATCATCAGGTCCAACTCCTGAAAATGCACAGAATAATCCAAAGTGCCTGAAATAATCCATGTGCCTGAAAGCATTGTCTGAACCCTTCCTAAACTCTGGGAGGCTTGGTGCTAGATGCTACTTATTTATAATGAAGATACATCCAAAACTGCAATATCGAAAATACTACAGTAGAAATGTATTTGAATCACATATAAATCAAATCAATTGCTAATTTAACAGAGAAAAAGCATAATTTGAAGTCAGTAAAGAAAACTTTGGGGTTTGGTTCTCTTTCCTCATTTGTGAAAGAGTGCTATAAAATATTGCGAGCTTAAGTGCTCTAGTGATACCAGCTGATACATAACGTCTGTTTTTCTCGGAAGTTCCTAATCTCGTTTAAAAAAAAAAAAAATTGCAAATACTGTATTTTATTTAGCGGCATTCGGGCAGGGTCCCCGCAGCAGACGCTGAGCTGACCAAGGCAGCGGGAACAGGCGCTGAGGAGGGAGCACGGGTGCCTGAGGAGCCGCACGAAACCGCGGGGGCGGGCTGGAGAGGGGAGCATCCAAGCCTTGGCCGAATCCGTACTATCGGGCACCGGTTCTCAGACAGCCCACAAGCCGCGAAGCCCCACGGCGGCTGCCCCGGCTCGGACCGGTCCCCGCTCGGTTGAGCCCTGAGGGCAGCGCGGACCAAGAACCGCCACCGAGCCCACGCACCCGCCCCGCCCCGCGCCTGCGCGCCACCGCCCCCCTCCCGGGTCCGCCCCGCGAGCACATGCGCAGCGCTTGCCCACGGCTCCGCTGCGCGCACCTGAGGGCGAGAGTCCTGTTGGCCCAGCGACTTCCGCTCTCCCCGCTGCTGAGGCGGCGGCAGAGCCGCACACCGGGCACGGGCGCTGCCGGTCCGCGGGTCTCTCTCCCCCCGCCCTTCCCCCCGCCCTCCCTGTTGCTCTCCGGCTGGAGCCGACCACGCCGCTCGGCTCACCAGATAACGCGCCTGCCAGTCGTTCGTGGCGTCGATCTCCTGGAACTCCTGCTCGATGGCGGCGGACATGATGGCGGCGGTGGCCGCAGCGGCCGCCAGGGCGCGCGAGCCTGTCCGCAGCAGGCCGAGCGGCGAACTCGCGACCGCTCGCGCGCAGCCCCCCGCCTCACGGCAGCTGCGGGCGCGCACATACGCTCGCGACCGGGTGTCCCGCAGCCGGCGCTGGGCGCATGCGCGGCCCTTGCCCCGCCCACCGAAGCCGTGGAGATCACGCCTCCCCGGGAGGAGGAGGCGGGAAGCACCTGGGGTGACGTCACCTGCGCGGGGCGGGGGCGGAGCCGCTCTCAGGTGTCGCGGGGTCTCGGCAGGACCGGGGACTTCGGCCACCAAATGGGTACCCGAGCGCTTGCTGTCACAAAAATCACAGACTCCGTTCGGTTGGGAAAGATCTCCGAGATCATCGAGTCCAACCTGTGGCCGAACATCACCACGTTAACTAGACCATGGCACTAAGTGCCACATCCTTCTCTAAACACCTCCAGGCACGGTGGCTCCATCGCCTCTCTGAGCAGTCAGTCCCAGTATTTAATCGTCCTTTCTGTGAAGAATTTTTTCCTAATATCCAACCTGAACCTCCCATGGCCTGAGGCCTTGTCCTCTCGTCCTGTCGTTGCTTGCCTGACTGACCCCCTCCTGGCCAAAACCTCCTTTCAGGCAGGTGTAGAGAGGGATAAGGTCACCCCTGAGCCACCTCTTCTCCCGGCTAAACACCCTCAGCTCCCATCAGCAGCTCCTCACGGGACATGTGCTCCAGACCCTTCCCCAGCATCACTGCCTTTCTCTGGACACGCACTAGCACCTCAGTGTCCTTCTGAACTGAGGGGCCCAGAACTGAACTCAGTATTCGAGGTGCAGCATCACCAAAGTGCGTGCAGGGGGACAATCACTGCCCTGGTCTTGCTGGACACACTACTCCTGATGCAAGCCAGGATTCCACTGGCCTTCTTGGCCACCTCCACACTCTGCTGTGCCCACATTCAGTTGACCACTGGTCCTTTTTCACTGGGCCACTTTGCGGCCACTCTGCCTTCAGCCTGTAGTGCTGCATCGCTGTGCCGATGTCTCTGAGAGGACACAGCCCCCGAAGGGTGCATGAGCTCTTCCAGCCGCCGGCGAGTCCCTAGCCCGGCTCAGGGTAGCACCCCCGGCGATGTGCCCCGCCGGCAGCCACTGGTTCCGAAAAGCAGAAGTGCGAAGACACGGACGTGTCGGACAGACAAATCACAGCGGGGCTCGCTGTTCCGAAAGCAGAAACGCCGTGTCCCACAGCGATTGCCTCACTGGGACAGAAAGTCCCTTAGGGGGGACACCGGACAAAGCCAAAGGTCGGGCCGGGTCAGAGAGGGCTGCGCGGCGCCGGCTGCTGGGGGACACCAGGCTGTGGCCCCCGGGCAGGCGGGAGACGCCTCGTGGCTCAGCACAGGTCGCTGGAAAACCCCCGGCGCCTTAAAAATGTTTGAATTAGTGCCACGAAGGGGAACTATGTACCGTCAGTGTGTGTAAGTATCTGAAGGGAGGGTGCCAAGAGGATGGAGCCAGGCTCCTCTCGGTGGTGCCAAGCAATAGGATAAAAGGCCACGGCATAAACTGATAGTCAGGAAGTTCCACATGGATATGAGGAAGAATTTCTTTCTTGTGCGGGTGCCCGCGCAATGGAACAGATTGTCCAGAGAGGTTGTGGATTTTCCTTCACTGGAGACATTCAAGAACCGTTTGGACGTAATTCTGTGCGATGTGTTCTAGGATGATCCTGCTTTAGCAGGGGGGCTGGATCAGACGATCCCTTCCAATCTTCCCCATTTTGTGAGAGGTTACAATGGCTCCCCGCACGCCGGTGACAGTCCTGCCCTCGGCCCGCCGCGGCCTCCTCTTCCGCCTGTTCCTGTCCTGAACCTTAACTCCCGGCGCACCCTTTCCTTGCCGCAGCCTCTCCCCCACCCTCAACACGGCTCTCACGGACTGGGAGGTTTCCGTGGAAACTTTTGTATCTGCTCTCTCCCACGCCCGAGGAGCCTCTGCCCTGCAGGGCGCCCCAGTCGCTCCCCTCGGCTTCCCTACCCGGCCACCACCGGCCCCCGCTGCCCCGACCCCCTCAGAGGGCCCGACACCAGGCACGTACACGGGCAGGGGCTGGGCATCTCAACTGTGGTGTGACTGACAGCTGAAGGACTGGATGCCATGGAGAGGGGTGGCGTGGACCTGGACAAGCTCGAGGAGTGGGCACATGGAAATCTCATAAAGTTTAACAAGACTCAGTGGTCAGGTCAAACGTCAATATCAATATAGACTGGTGTCTGAACAGATGGAGAGCAGCCCTGCCAAGAAGCACTTGGAGGTGCTGGTAGATGAGAGGCAGGACAGGAGCCAGCAATGTAAGCTTGCAGCCCAGAAAGCCAGCCACATCCTGGGATTCTCCCCCTCTGCTCTGCTCTTGTGGGACCCCAAGTGCAGTGCTACATCCAGTTCTGGAGTTGCCAGCACAGGAAGGGCTGTTGGAGCAAGTCCAGAAAAGGGCCAACAAGTTGATCTGACAAATGCAGTCCCTCTCTTAAAGGCTGAGAGAATTGTGATTGTTCAGCCTGAAAAAGAAAGGGCTCAGGAGTGAGCCCTTTTCATGGTCCTCCAATACCTGAAAGAAGGCTACAAGGAAGATGGATAGGTACCTTTTAGAAGGGCATGTAGTGATAGGACAAGGGTGAATGGTCTTAAATTGAGAGTAGGTTTAAATTAGGTATTAGGATTAAGGACTTTGCTTAGAGGATGGTGAAACACTGGAACAGGTCATGCAGAGAAGTTGTGGATGCCCCTTCCCTGGAAGTGTTCATAGCCAGGTTGGATGCAGCTTTGAGCAACCTAGTGGAATGTGTCCCTGCCCAATGCAGAGGGGTTGGAACTAGAAGATCTTTAAGATCCCTTCCAGATCATATGATTCTGTGATCTACAGCTCCTGTGATAACCAAAGTCACAATGCTGAGTGTGGCTGTGCCATCTCTGCGGTTCTCTGTGTGCTGCCACTGCAGCCCCACGTGCAGCCCCCCTGCCTCCTTTGGGCCTCACCTGATGTTTAAGCACAACATGAGCAGCTACTATTTTTGAAACAGACTTGATTTTGAATACCTGCCACTGAATGCTGCTGCATTTCCTTTCTACCACACAGTGCTGGAAGTCCACTGGCTCACATGCTCCCCCAAGTCCTGGTAGAAAAGCTGGTGTCCTGGATACCATGGGATTGTGTGATGCCTTGGAAGCACAGCAGATGGGACAGCATGGATCAGTAAGTTCATAATAAGATTTTCTAAGTAACTCAAGGATTGCACAAGATTTTTTTGAACTATGGGTTCAAGCTTAGAAATCAACATAGGCAATATCTTTCCTAGATTTTTTCCTGCCTGCCTGCATGACTGACACGCGGGTCATGTCTGTAGTTCTGCAAGTGCTCTCTAGTTAATCAGTGTTCTATGTATGAACAGTTATGAAACAAGCAAATAAGAAAACATTTTTGAATTATGTTTATGATTTAAGAGTACAGCAAAGAATCCAAGTGCCCATCCTCAAGGTAAAGATTTGCTTTCATTTGAAGTAGATTTATTTGATTCAATTAATAAAATTGTTCTTTACCTCAGAAAACTTATGTTGCAGGGTGTAAGAAAGTAAATAGGTACATACAAGCTGTCTGCCAAATAACATATTTTAATAAAGAAATTAAAATGGACACCTTCCTTACTGATTTTAGACTTTGGCAGGCTTTTCCCTGTATATAAACATGCTGACTGATCTGTATTTATAGCATTTATGACATGATGTGCTTTTCACTTGTGCTTGTGATATTTGGGGTGGTAGTTCATTGTGGGACAGCAATGTAACTCCGTTGTTAGGAAAGGGAGTTTTATGGTAGCAGCTACATTTAGAATCTCTAACACAGATCAGTGCCCAGAGACATCTCATGGAAAGCTAAAAATGTTTGTTAATTGTGATTAGAGCTGGCTTAGAAAAGGAAAAACTTGTAAACTAGGGATTTCTGAAGAAATTGCTATTGTTCTGTTTTGGGTTGCTTTTTTTTTGACTGCAAATATGCTGAAAATTCAGCACCAGTTCTCTAGCTTTTAAGACCTGAGCCCAGGATAGATCCAAGACTACATTTCTAATGGTCTGTGAAGGAGAACTGTATATACAACATAAACCAAGTACACTCATTAGAAAACTTTATTCTGTTGCCAATGATATACTCCCATTCTATATTAGCTGAGCAGCCAAACCCAGATGAACTGCTACAGAAAGTCTTAAACCCTTGAGACCACATGAGACATGCAAAGAGGGATAACATAGTTGCTGGAAAGTCTAGTCTATTTTAGTGTTTTCAGTCTTAGTATAAACACAAGCAAGCAATGTTTTTTAATTAAAATCTCTGATTATTTGAGAAGCCCATTGCTGTGCTAACAAAACACTCACCCCAAAGTAGTTGCTATCCACAGTTTTGATTTCAAAATTTACTTTGGTGCCCATGAAGACCAATGCAGTTAATTTTAAATGCTTTTTGTCCAGTGATCTTGGCTGAACTATTATTTTAGTACCAGTCTGGAGCAGACTAAGTGTTTGTTCCTCTGTGTGTACTTTTTTGGGTCATTCACTGGAACTACTTAAGCACCATTTATTGGAAATGATCTGGTTTGTGCTGCTTTTCTGAGAAACATTTTAGATATTGGTAGATGAAGAACAAATTCTTCCCTGAGGTGGTCTTATTCACAAATACACTCCACATCAATTTTAACTGTTAAGGAAGAGAGCTGTAATGTGCTTAAGCTTGCCACAATGTGAAAGGAGGAGCACATGTAATTCCTGATTTAAGTCTTATAGCCCAAGGCCTAAAACAGAAGAGGATCCTCCCTTCCCTGAACTGGATAGGACTTGAAACCCAGAAGTGCTGGCCACTCTGCTGGCATCTGGTAGGGAGTAGAGAAGCTGAACGAAAAGGTCCAGTGGTCAGGATAAAACAGATTTCATTTTTATATGCATTTACAGTGCACTCTTTGTATTTCAGACTTTTGGAAGCTGTATTCCTTGCTCAAGTGAACATTAAAATTCCCATTACTGAAAGTGCGTGTTGGTGCACATACATTTCCTCAGCTATATTATTGCTTTCTCCTGCCCAAAAT